TGGCTGCCAGCCACACACGGTAGCCCATGGCAACCCACTGCCACAGGGGCTGCAGCCTACGCCGTCGCCGGCAACTCACGGCAGCCCAGCTCCAGGTTGAGCTGTTGTTCACCATCTTAGCTGTAGAGGCAGTGTCACTGGCCCCCATGTGGGATCTGAATCGGGGCCCTGCTTCTCAGAGCTGGCGTCCCAAGCCAGCTCTTAACCAACATGCCACTCGGCTGGCCCCGGAACAAACATTTTTTTCCAAGTTTTTTTTTTTTTTTTTTTTTTACAAATGTTTTATTTCACAATTAGATGTTCCAGCTCAAATGTTGTATAAGTATTGATTTGAGATGATAGAATAGTACCTACCACTGTCTGTGGTATTATGAAAATTAAATGGGTAAGGAGAAAATTGTAGAGAAGTGAGAAAATTTTCTTTAAGGCATGAGATAGCAGTGAGAGCTCAGATTATCTCAGGTGAGTTGGCAGTTGAACTGTGGGAAAAGGGTTTGGAATAATAACTGGAGTAGATTACTTTTAGTGATTTTGATGATGCATACCCTACAGGCATAACAAGGACTCCATGTCAGATGGAAATTATATGATTATTTATCAGTAGTTACAGGGACCATATTCCTTGGTTTATGTTGGGGTTTCACTTTGACATATATTCATAGGATGAAAATTTAAAGACAATATGCTTAAATAAAATTCCTTTTTCATGTTTCTTTCTTGGTTTGCCCTCCCATCCCTTACTACCTCTCCCCACCCCACCTCCCGACTATTAGGTGGTGTGGAGTGGCTGCAAATCAAGGATAATGATTTCTCCAGTAGAACCAACATGATGTGTAGCTTTCTACATGAAAATGAAGATGAAGAAGCTGTAGCTCCAGCTCCTGATAAACCTTTGGAGTTAGAAGAGCAAGAGATTCAAATGAAAGATGATTCAAACCTGAGTTATGAACAAGGGAAACCACCACACATAGAAATAGAGGATTCTGGCCCTCTTGTTGATATTCCTTCTTCTGAAACAGAAAGTTCTATTTTTATGGAAACTCAAGATGCTGCCTTAGACATCACTCCTAGATGAAATGTTTTCTGTAATAGTTAGTTATGAACTTTTAAGAGTTTTTATGTAGAATAATTGTGTAGCTTTCAGTTCACTATTTTATTATTTTTGTTGGCTATACACACATTTCCAATTATCGCTACAACTTAATACACAAGAAGCATTAAAGGACCAGATATAAATTGAATTTTTAAAAATATTCTTGGGCCGGCCGAGTGGCTCAGTTGGTTAAGAGCTTGCTCAAAGCTCACTCAAGAGTTTGAGCTCTGGGCAACAGCGGTTCGATTCCCAGCCCAAGCTGAGCAGCCACTAAGCTGCCAACAGGTGGCAGGATGGCTCAGTTTAAAAAAATAAAATAGAGCTTGCTCAAGAGTGCGAGCTCTGAGCAACAGGGTCACTGGTTCGATTCCTGGCCCGGGCTGGGCTGCTACTGAGCTGCCAAGAGGTGACAGGATGGCTGAGCTAAAATAATAATAATAATAATAAAATATTGCTAAAATGACTATAGGGACCCTTCTCTGATGAGTCCTTTAAATTGGAGGTTTTACTAAGGTAAGGGTATAAGTTTTCTATTGCAGCCATCACAAATTACCACAAACTTAGTGGCTTAAAACAACACAAATGTATTATAGTTTTATAGGTCAGTAGTTTGACATGGGTCTCATTTGGCTAAAATCAAGGTGTTGGCAGGACTTCATTCTTTTCTGGATTGGGGCGACTGGGGATTGGAGATAACATTTCCTTGCTCAATCAGTTGTTGGCAGAATTCAATTCCTTGAAATTGAAGGGTCACAGTCCTATTTCCTTTCTGTCAGCTAAGGGCCATTCCCAGCTTCTAGAGGCTGCCTGCATTCCTTGGCTCATGTTCCCCTTCTCTTCAAGGCCAGCAAGGGTGGGTCAAATTCCTCTCCGGCTTAAAATTTATTCTGCTTCTTCTATTATCCTATCTCTGACCAACCTTTCTTGCCTTCACCTTTAAAGGTCCATTTGATTACATTAGACTCACCTGGGTGACCTCACTATTTTAAGGTCTATAACCTTAATTCCATCTGCAAAGTCCGTTTTGCTATGTAACTGAAACAGATATAAAACTGAGGAGTAGGGCATGAGAACCTTTGGGAGGCCATTGTCCAGTCTACCACTGTAAGTGTTACATATCTCAGAACAGAAAAACAGTTCAGGGCAAAGGTAAAATTGCTGATGTTCAGGCTGTAATTCCATTCCTTTCCCACTTGAGGAGTATTGGAATTCAGCTGTGAGTAGCAGTCATTCTATTGCGATAACCTAGATCTGCTCTAACTTGAATTTTTAACTGTAAATTATTCATAAACTTTGATACCTTGTTATAGGTTGAACTATATGAAATTGCCAATATTTGATTGTTTCTGACTACAAAAAAGCAGGCAGTTTTATATGGTTTAACCTGGTAGTAATAAGTTAAAACACACCTCACATTAATCATATATCGTAACTGTTGGAGGTATAACTGTATGTTGTGACAGATTACAGAACTAATGCTAGGATGAGGATTTATTTTTCTTCAATAAGTTTTTGTAACTTTTTACAAAAAATTTTACCTTGATTAAAAACATTTCCAAATGCATGTATATCTTCCCAATTTTTATATGACTTCTTTAATCTCAGCTTTTGTTTAATAAAGCTTATTTTTCCCACCATGTGTATGTGTAGGAAAGACTGCTAATTACCTGACCCAGTATCTATTCTTCCTTTTTTTTTCTTTGTAATAGAACCCCAGAATTTATTCAGATTATCAGTGTGCCCAGCTTTCCTTGCGTATATACAAGCACGTGGCCATATGACTAAGTTCTGGCCAGTGACATGGAATTACAGGTTTTGAGTGATGGATCATTCTGGGACGTTTCCTTAAAACTTAAAATGTAAAAGGAAATGGGCCAGCTCATCTTCCCTTTCTTCCTGCTGGAACATGGATGTGGTAGCTAGAGCTCCAGCAGGCTTCTTGGACTATAAAGTAACTTTGGACATAGACGCCATGACTGGCAGAGCAACAAGACAGAAGATTGGGTCCTGATTTTATGATGCTGTCCTGGACTGCTACGAATAGAGGAATAAAACTCTTTCTCTTTCTCCCTAGTAAAATGACCTCAAGTTTACCTTTTGGCACTGTTTTCTCTGGAAACCTATTAGACAAGATAATAATAGAACATCAACTGTGATGCCAGGCAATATTGTTTATGATTAAAAATGACTGCTTACTGGTAAACTATCTGGACCAGGGAGACTATGACAAGAACTATAAATAGCCATTGGAAAACATGGCTTTGTGCTTTCTTAAGTGCTATGTTTCTCATTACAAAGATCCCTGGAAGCTACATTGGTTGGCTATTTCAAGAGATACTGGTCCTTGGGCAGTATGAAGCTTCTAAGCCAGTGTGGCTTTTGCACTCACCCAAATGATCTTGTTTCCTTACACCTGAGCTGGCAGCTGGAGTAAAGACTCCTGCTGAATCAAGCTTCATGCTGTTGTGCCATTTCCTATAAAGTTAAATGAGCCTAGTGCCAGTCTGGGTCCCACAAGGCTAATTTTGTCCTGTGAGTGTGAATTTTTCCCCAAATCTGTGACTACTGGTGCTGTTTATTGCAACTACCTACCCCTGGCCTTTACCTGAGAGAAATAATTTATCTTGTTTACGTCACTCTGTAATAACCACACTTAATCCTAATTGATACATTATGCATTTCAGCAAACTTGAAAAATTTAGAAAACTATCAGGAAGTTGAGTGGAAGATTCTTGAGGTTTGTAATCTTGCAAAAGAAGCTGATCTAGACTATGAGGTAAGTTATACATTAAATTGAAGAGAAAAATAAAGTCATAAATTCTGAAGAGAACATAATGTGTTTTAGCTCCTTGTTAAATAAGATTAAATGTTTGAAATTTAGTAAAATAAAATCTAATTTTTCAACTTTGAAATATTTTGTAAAACTAGAATTTCTCCACCATTGAGCTGCCTTACTAACTTATTAGGATTACTTACAAGCAATCTTGCAATTAGTCTCTATGTAGCTGTCACACTAAATACTACTTTTTTGTTGTTGTTGTTAATAAGATTTTATTGGGGAAGGGGAACAGACAAGTTGCTGTTCTTTTGTTCTTCAGTCTAATTTTGGAGGACATCACTTTACTGGCCCATGTTGGTGTTGTGATCATTGCGCTCTTCCTGGCTGAGGCAGATTGGTTGCCGTCCATTGGATGGCTGCTCACGCTGGCTGCTGGCCGCTCATGCTGCTGCCAGCCACTCACGGTAGCTTACGGCAGCCCACTGCAGACCCATTGCAGACCCACTGCAGCGCCATCGCCAGCGACTCACGGCAGCCCAGCTCCAGGTCGAGCTGTTGTTCACCATCTTAGCTGTAGAGGGTGCAGAGTCACTGCCCATGTGGGATCTGAACTTGTGATCTTGCTGCCCAGAGCTTGGCACTCCCAAGCCAACTTTTAACCAATGAGCCATTCAGCCGGCCCACTAAATACTACTTTTGATACTGAATGCAATGGGTGGATTTTGCTTACAAATAATGATCTTCTACTCAAAAGGATCATATTGTTAAGGAGAATTATCCCTTAAGGCCGTTATAGAAATGCTTGAAAATCCACCCATTTGTTTATTATGTAATACATAGCTGATCATAACAAATTTATTAACAGATACACCAGTTTAGTGAAACTTGGTATCATGTGCTTTTCAATTCCTGTAGCAGCAGCTTATAATTTTTTATAATCTGTTTTCCTTTTGATCCAACAGCGCATGTGAAACTGAACAAGCTTCTTAATATGTCAGGCTTGCATACAGTAATCTTCCAGAAATATTTTTGTTGATTCTGGAAATGGATTTGCTGTCTCTCTTTTGTGGCTTCCACCATTATTTCCTTGTGTAATAAGGAAATCCTGTTTATAAAATTGTCTAGAAGTACACTTGATTAATACACAGTAAATATATCTTTTTAATGATAATTTGTAGTTTCTAGGTACTGGTGTTTGTTTTTTTCTTTAAATTTTTTTTCTCATTTGTTTATATTTCGGGGGGTGGGGGGGGTTATGACAGTTTGTATCTGGGTTTAATGTAGCCATACTTACATATCATTCATGAGTATGTCCAGGTCACAGAGGTTCTAGTTTTCTAAGATCCAGAATAACATTCCTTTCACGCTCCTGTCTTAAAAAGCTCCTATCGGGCCGGCCGAGTGGCGCGATGGTTAAGAACTCGCTTGGGATGCCAGAGGGCCCCGGTTCGGATCCCACATATGAGGGCCAGTGACACTGCCCT